GTCAAATTGATCATGGTTGAAGATGGATGATGGGTGTCTGTGTGGTTTTTATGCTATTCTGTCTACTTTTGTATATGTCTGGAATTTTCCATAGCAAAATGTAAACCCAAACTAAAGATGTTAAAGTAGCTGGGTGAGGTGATGAGCACCTGCAGTCCCAGCTACTAGGGAGGCTGAGGCGGGAGGATCGCTTGAGCCCAGGAGTTGGAGGCTGCAGTGAGCTGTGATTGCACCACTGCACTCCAGCCTGGGTGACAGAGCAAAATGCAAGATCCCATCTCTATAAATAAAATAAAATAAAGTGTGTCCCAGAGCATGGTACATAGTAGGTGTTGAATAAATGTTCACTTTTCCCTCTGCCCGCAAGGAGCCTAGGGCAGCATTTCCATAGAAAATTTCCATAGAATATTCTGCAATGGCGGAAATGTTCTCAGTACAGTTCTCTCTGTACTGCCCAATGTGGCTACTGAGCACTTGAAATGTGGCTAGTGGGACTGAAGACCTGAATTTCTATTTTTCTGTAATTTTAATTAATTTAAATAGCCACAGAGGCTAGTGGCTATGACATTAGACTATGAAACTCTAATGACAGCTGGTGACATCGGCTGGTGACAGCTTGAAGGCAGAAGATACTTAATAGCCAGGAGGGAAGAAAGGGGCATAAAAACGTGTAAATAACTGAGACTTTGTCACCAGGGATAGAGAAGTAGCTGCTACTTTGTAAAGCAGAGAGGAATGTGGTCACTTTAATCTGGATTAAAGGATGAGGCTTAGGGATATAGACGCTTTTGTGATTCGATCAGATCAAACACAGATGGGTGAAACATGATACTTTATAGTGAGATTGATCATTCAGCCAACTAATCCATGTTGTCCTGGCCGTGGCGAGAAACCAACAGCTTGCCTTTTGTCTTCTCACGCCTTTACGGTATATGGACATGAGCTAAAGCAGGAACCGAGGAAAGAGAAGTGGTGAGTGCTATGCCGAAAAATAATCAGGCTAGGACGACAAGGAGTGGAGAGGAGGTAAGAACGTCCCAGAGAAGGTGACATTTGAACAAAGACCTGAATGAGGTATGGGAATGCTTTTTCCTCCCCCAAAAGGCAGTCTTCTTCCACAGGGTTGGCAAACTTTTTCTACAAAGGGCCAGTTTGTTGGCACCTACTCTGCTAGAAAATATTGGTATAAGGCCCGGCGCGGTGGCTCACGCCTGTTAATCCTAGCACTCGGACCGAGGCGGCGGCATGCTCGATGGTCATGAGTTCGGACCAGCCTGAGCAAGAGCGAGACCCGCTGTCTGCTACTATAAATTTAGAAAGAATTTGAATTGGCCAACTGAAGTTAGGTATTATTAGAAAAATTAGCCTGGCATGTGGCGCTTGGCTGGTAGTTCCCAGGCTACTCGGAGGCTTGAGGCAGGAGGATTGCTTTGAGCCCCAGGAGTTGGAGGTTGCTGTGAGCGGAGCTTGGAGTGCCACGGGCCACTCACTCTAGCCTCGGCAACAAAGCGAGACTCTGGTCTCCAAAAACAAAACAAAACCAAAAAAACCAAACACACTTATGTGCCCAGAGCCAGTGGCTGAATATTTGTTGAATGAATTAAGAGTCCCATGAGGTAAGTACTGTCATCATCCCCATTTTGTAGCTAAGGAAACTGAGACTCAGAGAGCTGAAGTGACTTATCCACGGTCACAGAGTCAGCAAATGGCAGTACTGGGATTTGAACCCAAGTCCCTGTAGCTCCTAGGATACGTAGTAATAGGATGGTTTGTGGCTAGAAACACAAGGCAACCTGACCCAATGGAGTAGTATCTTTGTAGCTAGGATGGAGGGAGGGAAATACTAGACACATGCTTATTCTTCAGCATTCTTCAGACAAAGAATTATTATCCCCATTTTACAGGTGGGGAGACTGAGGCTCGGAGTTAAAAGCCTTGTCTGATAGGAGAGAGGAAGCCCGAGGGGGAGGGGGCATGCAGGAAAAGCCTGCTCTGACGGCCACCAGTGTTGCAAACCTCTCACCTGCCGGCGCCACAGGGAGCTGCTCCTCTTCCTGCTCTTGCTCAGCCTCCTCCAAAAAGTCTTCCAGAAGCTTCTCTGCCTCTTGGGCCTCAGCCCCCCCTGGGGCCGCCCAGCCCAGAAAGGTTCGGACACTGCTCAGGGCCGAGTGGGCAGGGGGGTCTCGGAAATCCTGAGGGTGGTCACGAAGCCAGGAGCCCAGCACGGATACCACAGCCCTGGCCAGAGGGGCAGGGCCTCAGAGCCCGGCCCAGAGTGGGGGACCTCGGATCTGACTCTGGATCTTTTTTTTTTTTTTTTTGAGAGAAAGTCTCGCTTTGCTGCCCAGGCTGGAGGTGAGTGCCATGGTCGGTTCAAGCGCTGGCTCACAGCAACCTCAAACTCCTGGGCTCAAGCAATCCTTCTGCCTCAGCCTCCCGAGTAGCTGGGACTACAGGGCATGTGCCACCATCGCCGGCTAATTTTTTACTATATATTATATATTAGTTGGCCAATTAATTTCTTTCTATTTATAGTAGAGATGGAGTCTTGCTCTTGCTCAGGCTGGTTTTGAACTCCTGAACTTGAGCAATCCGCCCACCTTGGCCTCCCAGAGTGCTAGGATTACAGGCGTGAGCCACCGAGCCACCGCGCCTGGCCTTGACTCCAGATCTTTTATAACCTGCGACTCTCAGGTTACCCAACCCTCTAGCCCTCAGGCCTGACCATTGACATTTGACCTCTAGGGTCCCCCAACTCTGCCACCCCGGTGTGGGGGGGGGAACCAACCTCAGGTTCTTGTTGAAGCTCACATCTAGTCCCTCTGTCTTCAGGATCCCTACCCTGCGAAGAGGGACCCCCCATGAGGTGAAGAGTGAGAGCTGGAGGGGGCTTAGGAGGAGGGTTCTGGGGTTGAGGGATATTTCTTGGTTCCAAGCCTGAGATAGTGGGGGGGATGCCCAGGTGGGGGTCTGGGGTGGGGACATGGAGGTTCTGGGGCTGTACTGACCCAGGAGGTGGGGGCGGTGGCATTGGTGGCAGCAGAAGGCCCAGCACCCGGCCAGTGGGCACAAAGGCGCGGTGGGTGGCCAAGAAGGCTGGCACAAAGCTTGGGTCCTGCTCGGGGTCTCCAGACACCAACTCTCCCACCAGCCGCTCCAGCCGGGCCGCCCTCAGCGCCCGCACCTTGCTGGTGCGGTAATGGAGGAAGGTGTCCGCAGCCAGGGTGGCGGCCTGCGGGGTGGGGGAGGGGCGGCCATGAGCGACCAGGAGCGCGGCCCCCACCCCCAGCACCCCTTCTCCAGCCACACCCAGCGCTAGCACCACTCTCGGATCTCATTCCGCTAAATCTCCGCTCCCGAAGTTCTTATTTTGCCCCGTCCACTAATGATTCCTGCAGCCCTAACCCTGGAAACCCTCGTCCTCCCAGGCCCTGCCCCAGGTCCCCTCAGTTGGCCACCTCCCACCCGCAGGCTGCTCTCAGTCCTCCAGTCGCGCTTCACTGGCCAGCCCGGTCCTGGCCTCCGTTTCACCTGCGCTCTCCTGGCCACTTCTAAACCCCACTCGTCCTGCCAGCTCCGGCCCGCTAAACCTGCCCTTCCCAGTCCCGCCGTCCAGTCCTGCCCTTGCCTGGTTGTCTTGGGAACGGCGCGGCCATCACCGGCCCCACCCCATTCTCTGGATCTACCCCACTTACCTGGCCGCCCCCAGGCCCCTTTCAACCTCCGCTGGTCGCCTCTGGGCCCCGCCCTTCCTGGGGCCCGCCGCACCTGGCGGCCCCAGCTCCGCCCCCACCTGTCCCTCCCAGGCCCCTGCGCACGGCCCCGCCCTCGCCGGGTCGCCTCCCGCCCCGCGCCACCCTCCGACCCCTTCCTCACCTGGCTGCCCCCAGGCCCCTCCCCCGGGCTCGCGCGCTGACTGCGCTGCCGCCGCAGGGAGACACTGTACACCGCGCCGTCCTCGGTCTCCTCGCCCCAGTCCTGCAGCGGCGCCTGCACGCGGAGGCGGGCTGAGGGCGCCGCGGGGGAGCGGCCCCGGGGCCTGTCCCCCTTCCGCCGCCTGGACGCAGGCCGGGTCTTCCAGCTCCGTTCGGCACCCCCTTCCCCGGCGGCGTCTGCGAGACTCAGGCCGCGGTCCCAGGCTAGTGCCCTCCTGGCCGCGGGTACCCTCCTCCCAGGTCCCGAGGGGATGGGGTGGCATTTGGGGATGTCCCAGGGTCCAGTGTCATGGAATCTGTCGCTGATCCCTCCCTCAGACGCGCTGAGAGACCCCCACCTCCCGCATCCTTAAGAGAAACCAGCCGTTTCACTGGGGCAAGAGCCGTGAGTCGCCCGTAGGTGACTCCAAGGCAGGTCCAATGTGGGAGGAGAGAGTCCGACGGGCGGGCACCTGGAGTTTCTGGACCTCGGGTCACCAGGGAGGAGCGGGGTGCCGGGACTCCCTGCCCCCTTACCAGGGCGAGCTCCTTGCCTGCTGTCCGCTCCATGGCACGCGCCTGTCCCTTTCCGTGGCGCCGCTGAGTGAGGCGGAAGGGCCAGCGGGGGGCGGACAGTGGCCGGGCGCTGGGGCCGGCGGGGCGGGGCGGGGCAGCCGGGCTCCATGGGGCGGGGCGGGGCGGGACCTGCGGCGCCCGCGGCTCTCGGATGCCACCCGCCGGACCCCAGCGTCCAGGCCCACCTGCGAGAGCTCCCAGCTCTCCGGATAAGGCGTATCGATCTGTCCCCAGGAGTTGGGTCTTTCTCTACCCCCGCGTGTGAGGGAGCTAGTGTGTACAGCTAAGTGCGTGCGGGCCTGCACCCCGGCGGAGTCCTGTGTCCTGGGGGGCAAGGACTAGCCTGCCCCAAGTGCGGCCTAGCTCCCTTGTCTCTGGGGGAAAGGAAGAGGGCACGGTGATGGGAGTCCTCATGTCCCAGGTTGGAGGGACCCGAGTCTAGGGCCTTGGGTTTTAAGGACAGCCCTCTTTGGGGCGGGGCGGGGTCAAGCAGAGGCGAATACCCGGGGGGCTGGCGCGCGACCTTTATTGCGCGAGTGCGAGGCCGGCGCGGACCGCTGGGAGATTTACCGTGGGAGCGTCGGGCCCGGCCACCCCTCTCCTCCCGCGCCGGCGGTCTGCTCCGCTCGGGTACAGGGTACAGGCCGCGTTCAGCCCTCCAGGGGCCCCGTGGGCCAGCGCTGGGCCCAGAGGGGATGGGGGCTCCGAAGGGGACCCCAGGCGCTAGGAGAGCGCGAGAGTGAGTCTAGGACCTCCGCGACCGACTGCGCTTCTTGTTGCGGCTTTCGATGAACTTCTGTGAACGGATCTTGATCGCCGCGCGGTTCACCACCATGTTGTCCTCGTCCTCACTCTCCTCTTCGTCGACTGGAGGCACCGAGGCCGGAGGGGGGGGCGGGTTCGGGACACAGGGCCCCGGCTCAGATGTCCCCTCTGGGCCTTTAGCCCCCCACTCCCACCTTGCCCTGGGCCGGGCAGCGGACCACCCCCTGCCCCGCAGCTTGGGGCCCCACCCCCACCCCTCTCCTCCCTCCGGTGCCCCGCCCATACTGACCAAAGAACTTGTCCTTGGAACTGACGAGAGGCAGGGTGATGCGGGTGTTGTACTGGGGCAGCTTTCCCTCTAAGGTGGCGTAGAACTGGCGGGGGACAGGAGAGAACCATGTGGGCGGGGCAGGGGCCACAGAGAAGTCCCATTCCCCCTCCTCCCCACCCCATTCGAGACACGCTCTGAGTCCAGAGAGAGACCAGGGCCCACCCCTATCCCTCCTGCTCAGCTCCACCCCTTGTCACTCAGGCCAACGCCTGGTCTCTGGGCCCTGTCCCTAGGCCTCTTGAGGCCTACCCCTGATCCCCTAGCCACGACCTCTGGCCTCCCGGGTCCTGCGGGCAGTTCTTCTGGCTTCTCGCCCTTGTGTCTTAGGCTCACCCTCAAACCTCACCCGTTGTCCCTAAGGCCCCTTCCTGGCTCGTCAGCCCCCACCAGGCCTCGCGAGGGTTGCTGCTCCCGGCTCGCTGGCCTTCCCACCCAGCCCGCACCCTCAGCCCCACTCCCTGGCCTGGGGAGCCCTGGCCTCGGCGGCAGGAGCACCTCGCGGTCCGCGATGTGGCGCAGCATCTCTGGCACGTCCTGGCTATCGAGCTGCCCTTGCAGTTTCAGCAGCTTTTCCTCCACCAGGCCCAGCAGGTTCGGCAGATAGTCACCTGCCTTGGGATCCAACTCCTTTCCCTGGAAGCGGCCGTTCTCCTGCGGCCAGGGACAGAGCCGGGTCAGCCTAGAGGGGCGGGGCCTCGGTGGCATGCCCGCCCAGGGGCGGGGCTTTCTCTCATGGGCGGGGCCTTTGCGGTAAGGACCACCCACAGGAGTGGTGCTAGCCCCTGGGGGCGGGGCCTCTGAAGTCAAAGCCACGCCTGTGAGGGCGGGGCCTCTGAACGCTAACGTTACAGGAAAAGGGTAAGGGAGCTCTTTTGGTGTCTGACTCCAGAGAGGCCATGGTGGGGATGGTCTTCTGCAGGAGTGTGCTGCGGGTGGGGTGGGGCTCCAGGATTGGGGCGGTGTCTCTGAGGTTTTGGGTGGGGATTTTCCCATGGGGGCAGAACTTGAGGCTGGACAGAGTATCAGAAGTCTTGGGACTTTTGGCGAGTGAAAACGAATGCTGAGCCTGAGCCGGGCGCGGTGGCTCACGCCTGTCATCCTAGCACTCTGGGAGGCCGAGGCGGGCGGATTGCTCGAGGTCAGGAGTTCGAAACCAGCCTGAGCAAGAGCAAGACCCCGTCTCTACTATAAATAGAAAGAAATTAATTGGCCAACTAATATATATATAAAATTAGCCGGGCATGGTGGCGCATGCCTGTAGTCCCAGCTACTCGGGAGGCTGAGGCAGAAGGATCGCTTGAGCCCAGGAGTTTGAGGTTGCTGTGAGTGAGGCTGACGCCACGGCACTCACTCTAGCCTGGTCAACAAGCGAGACTCTGTCTCAAAACAAAACAAAACAAAACAAAAAAAAAAGAATGCTGGGCGAGGACTCGAGCAGTGGGGCGGGGCCTCCATGTGGGAGGGGCCTCTCCGATAGGCGGGGCCTCTGATGTCCAGGACAGAGGATGGCATGGGCTCCCTGGGGCTGACCAGTGTGGCAGGAACCCCTGCTGGGTGGCTGGGCCGGGTAGGTCCTGGGAGGGTCTGGTGGGGCTTCCTAGGGGCCGGGGCCTACCACGGTGATGTGGTTAAGTTTGCTCGCCAGGTGCTCCAGGCTCTCCTTGGCAGTTTGCATCGCCCGCAAGGTGCGCACCAAGTGACCCTGGGCCTCAGCTTGCCGCTTCTCCTCCACCTGGAGACGCCCCTCGATCTCGGTTTGTAGCTTCTGCTGGCTGCAGGGAGCGGGGAGATCATCTACCTGGGCTCGGCTGGAGCGCAGCAGATCCCGCACCCTCCACGCCCTCCCTGGGGCACCCGGGCCTCACCTCACCAGCGTGGCCTCCCCGGAGTATTTGAGGTCTTCGAGTTCCCGCTGCAGCCGCTGCTTCTCTTCCTTCAACTTCGCCAGCGCCTGCTCATTCTCCCTCTTGAGCGTCTCCAACTGCTCGAAGGTGTCGCTCTGGGCCAGGAACCGCCGCACCACCGACTGCAGGCCCCCCAGCCCCAGTCAGAGCCAGGGCCTGAGGGAGGCACAGCTGCGCTACACCTCCTCTTCCCCCCAGCACGCAGAACAGGTGGCCAAAGCTGGTGGCTTTAACAACACAGTGATGTCTGGGGACTCTGTGGGTTGGACTCAGGGCTGCTTCAAGGGTGTGCGGCCCCAATATATCATTTTTTTGCGGGGCCTTTTCTTGTCTATATAAGGAATTAGAGTCAGCCAAAATCAGCTTGCGGGGGCAGCCGCGACGGGGAGCACAACTTCTTTCCAAAATCAACGTGCCAGCAACTTCTGTCGGCAAATCTCGCCCAACCCCGCAAAGGAATACCGCCCATCCCTGCAGCGATCTGCTAGCCGGGCCGCTTCTGCAAAGGGGCCCGCGCCTGGGTGTCCCCAAATGACCTCATAGATGGGAGTTCTAGACTCCTGGGGTTGGACCTAGCAGGGAGCTGGAGGGCACCCAAAGGGGAGAGACGCTGGGCTAGGGTCCAGCGTTCGCCGCGGGGAACCAGGCGCCCGAGGAGGGCGCAGCAGTGTTAGAATATTTCAAGGAAGGGGCTGTAAGGGACCCTGTTTGCCCAGATCTGAACGTGGCACTGGGCCCTCTACTGCGTCCCAGGCCGTTTCACAGGCACTAGAGACAAAGAACAAGAGAGAACACTTCCAGTTCTCCTAGAGCCAACACGCCAAAGAAGTCAGCGTGGTGTAAGACAGAACAGAAGTCAAGGGAACGACCGCAAGTGTAGAAACGAGAGCGAGTGTAGACAGCTCGTGCTGGTTTTGCTAGGAAGGGCAGCAGAAGAACTGGGCAGTAGCTGGAGAGGGAAAGGATGTCTCTTTGGAAGAGAGCAGGTTTGTGTCCTGAAGAACTGACCCCGCGGAGCGGGGAGGCGGGGTGTGTTGGTCTCTCCCGCCTGGGCACGGCTGGGGCGCGTCTAGGGGACAGGGGACGGAGAGAGCTGCGGGCAGCACTCACATGCGTCTCGGCTGTGCCGGTGGCGTCCTTGACCTTGCCGAAGAGCACCTCCATCTGGTACATGTTCCAGCGCCGCCGCAGCTCCTCCTCCTTGGGGCGCAGTATCTCCTGGGGGGCGTCCTCCGACTGCAGCAGCAGGTTCTCGCGCTGGGTCTGTGTGCGGAGTTCGGCCGGGTCAGATCACGGACAGGGCTTAGGCAGGGGTCGGGGACGGGAATCCAGACAGGGGGGTGGGGAGGGAAGGGCAAAGGCTTGGGGCCAGGGAAGGGCACCTGGGCAGGGGTGGCAGAACAGAAGGTAGGCGGAACAGAGCCTTGGTAAGGGCTGGGCAAGGGGCGGAGTCAAGAGAGGCGTCGGGGTCTTAGGTAACAGCTGGGCCAGAGGCAGGGTCAGATTTAGGACTGGGGGCCTAGTCAGGTGAGGAAGGATGGTCAATGCGTAAGAGGAGGGCTGGAGGCATGTCAGAGCCAAAATGGGGCAATCAAGTGGGAAGGAGGGGGCGGCAGGAGTCCTCGCATCTAGTCGGGGTGGAGTCAGGGACGGGGGTTAGGAGAACCCTTAAGAGTTGGGAAAAGGTCTAGATCAGGCACAGCCAGGTCATGGGTGGGCTGGGCTCACAGCCCTCCACCCCTGGGTGCGCCCACCTTGCGCTCCATGCGTTCGTTCTCCAGTTTCTTCTCCTCCGCGCGCTTCTTGCAGTCGGTCACGTAGCGCTCGCGCTTCCTGCGCTCCTGTAGCATGGTCTCCTCCAGATACTGCAGCTGGTTCTGGAGGGGCCAGGGGAGCAGGGGCACAGGCTGGCACCGCCGTGCCGCAGGGCGCTGGGAGGCAAGTGGGAGGGGCTGGGGATCGCACCTTGGCAAAGTCCCGGGTATTGATGGCCTCCTGGTTCACCACGTGCAGTTCCTCCAGCTCGTGTTTGGTCCTCACCACCTCAGCCTCCATGAAGTCCAGCCGGTTCTCAAAGTTAAGGCTCTCCTCCTGGGGCCAGAGGGGTGGGGCAGGCCTGTGACTGCTGTGCCTGGCCGGGCCTGCCCTCCCTACTTCCCTCCCCCGCCCTAGCCACCCGAGTACCCACCTGTAGATAGGCCTTGAGCTGCAGGTACACGCTGGTTATGTGTTCCGCCTCCTCCGCCTTCATCCGGGCCTTTTCCAGGCGGTTCTCCAGGTTGCGCATGGTCTAGAGGGCCGCACAGCTGGGCTGAGTCCCTCTGCCCTCGGTGGCTCCCCAGGGCCCCTGCCCCGCAGGCGCCACCGGCCCTACCTTGGCTATCTCCGTGTTGCTGTCGCGCGCCTCTGCCATCTCCATCTGGCGAAGGCGGTGCTGCAGCTGGAGCTCTTCCAGCCGGCTCTGGCGCAGCACCAGCTGGTGCCGCAGCACGTTGAGCTGCTTCACCTTCTCGCTGAGCCGGTGGTCCAGGAGCTCCAGGGCTTGCTGCGGGGAGGGGCGCGAGCACAGGGGCGGGGCCTGAACCCCCACCTCGTCCTTCCCCCTTCCTTCTCCCACAGTGTGACTTCCGCACCTGCACTCTCCAGTTTTCCACCCGCCTCCCTGGCCGCCCCTTCTGCATTTCCTTTGTCTTTGGAGAGAGCCCCGGAGGCTCTTCTCTCTGTCCCGGTGACCTTACGCAGTCTCAGGGTTTTAAAAGCCATCGATATACTGAAGACACCCGAATCTAGCCTCCCCTTTGAACTCCAGGCTCACGTCTCCAAATACACACTGCCTTCCAGCTGTCTGTACAGGCGCTTCGAAACCATCACTTCCAAAGTCAAGCACATGATCGGCCCCCCAAACCTGCCCTTTGACGGCTCCCCCATCTCAGTCTTGGCGGCTCTATCCTTCCAAGTACTCGACCCCAAACCTCGACACCATCTTCAACTTTTTTTCTTTCTCTCCCATCTACATCCGATTTGTTAACAAATTCCATTCTATTTCAAAGGTTCCCCTGGGGATCTCTTTCCTTCCATTTTCGTCACTTTTATCCTAGTGCACCCACACCATCCTTTTTTATTTTATTTTTTTAAGACACAGGGTCTCACTCTGTCACCCAGGCTAGAGGGCAGTGGTGCGATCCTAGCTCACTGCAGCCTCGAATTCCTGGGCTCAGTGATCCTTCTGTCTTGTCCTCCCAAAGTGGTGGGACTGCAGGCGTGAGCAACCATGCCTAGCCCCATATTTCCCCTGGATGACCTACTCCCGGCCTGCCCTTTTGCCTCCTCAAAGTCCATTTTCCACGTCTCTGGTTCTTGCTATGAAGTTCATGCTCTTCATCGTGGCCAACAATGCCTGTTGCATGGCTGAGCCCTGGCTGTCATCACTACCTCATCTGCTACAGAGCCCCTTCCCTCACTCTCCTGCCACCCTCGCCTCTCTCTGGATCTCCCACATTTTAAGCTTGTTCCTACTCCAGGGCCTTTGCACTTGGTGTTCTCTCTGCCTGGAGCATGCTCTTCCCCAAATATTTTCCTGCCTGTCCCATTCTCAGCTCAAATTATCATTTCCAGAAGAGAATGACAGCTCTTTGCTGACCCCACCCCCAAATCTAAAGTGCCCACCCCATCCCCACCTCTCTAGCAAGTCACACTGTTTTGTTTTATTCCTTTCTCCAGGTACTACTAGAAATGACTTTGTTTCTTTTCTTTTTTCGTTTCTTTTTGAGACAAAGTCTCACTCTGTTCCCCAGGCTAGAGTGCCATGGTGTCATCATAGTTCACAGCAACCTCAAACTCTTGGGCTCAAGCGATCCTCCTGTCTCAGCCTCCAGAATAGCTGAGACTACAGCCGCATGCCACCGCACCCTGCTAATTTTTCATATTTTTAGTCGCCCAGCTATTTCTATTTTTGGTTGAGATGGAGTCTCACTCTTGCTCAGGCTGGTCTTGTATTTGTTTTTTGTTGTTGGTGGTGGTGTTTGTTTTTACCTGTTTCCCTCACCAAGATATACGCTTTATTTTTTCTAACTCCAGCACTCAAGCAATCCTCCCACTTCAGCCTCCCAAGCAGGCACACACCACCACATTTGGCCAATTTTTTAAATTTTGTGTACAGATGGAGTCTTGCTATGTTGCCCAGGCTGATCTCAGACTCCTGGCTTCAAGTGATTGTCCTGCCTTGGCCTCCCAAAGTGCTGGGATGGCAGGTGTGAGCCACTGTGCTTGGAGGATATGATCTTTTTAAGGGTGGAGACTCGGCCTGTTTTTTTTTCACTGCACCTAATACCGTGCCAGGTGCAAGCACAATGCACAGTTCAGTAAAGATTGAATTGAGCAAGCACATGGAGAAAGAATTGGAGAGGGTGGGACCGGAGACAGGAAGTCCAGAGGGGAGAGGACCCAGGCTGGAAGTGAAGGGCAATGGGCGATGGGTGGTGGGGTGAGAGAGTGGAGCAAACCTGGCCTGTCCTGTTCTTCAGGTATGGCTTCTCTGCCTTCCATTCCTGAATCACTGTCTGGACCACTTTCTCATCTCCCTGCAAGAAGACGATTCCAGTCACTCCTCACCCAAGCCACCTCCACCTGAGGCCAGGTGCTGTCCCCCCCTATCCCCTGGAATCCCTTCACCTGCCTCTGCACCCTCACCTTGAGCAGGTCCATCAGCTGCAGTTCCAGTGCCTTTGTCTCCTCGCGGAGCTGGTTAATGGTCTCCTGGTTCTTCTTGATGTTCCACTGGGAGCTCTCATAAAAGGCCTTCCGGTCACCCTCTAAGGGGCGGGGGGTGGGGTGGGTGGGCAGATGCACCTCAGTGTCACTGGGTGGCTTCAACATCCCAGAGGCAAGATCTTTTTGCAATCATCAACTTAACATTATAGCAATACAGTTGCCACTCAGTATACTTAGGGGATTGGTTCTGGGACCCCTGATTATAACAAAGTCCACACGTATTCAAGTCCCGTAGTCAGCCCACACACTCTGGTTTGCATCGTGAGAATACTGTATTTTTGATCGTAGTTTGGTTGTATTAATAGATGTGGAACTCATGGATACAGGAGGCCAACTCTATTTATAAAAAAAAAAAAAAAATCCGCATGTAAATGAACCTTCACAGGTCAAACTGGGGTTGTTCAAGCATCGACTCCTCTTCTCTTTGAGCCTGTATTATGTGTTGGATACTGGACTAAGAGATTTCCATGTATCATATACCATACAACAATAGGCACATATCTGTATGCATATCATGTACCCATTTCACAGATGGGGAGACTGAGGCTCAGGCTGGCTAAATTGTTCAAGCTCACATTCCGTCTCACTCCTGCACCTACACCTTCAAGAGCTACGCAAGAATGCCTCTTAAGAATAATAAAAATGATAACAACATTAATGGCTTACACCCAAAGATTCCTCAACCTCAACATCACTGACATGTGGGCTGGATAATTACTAACATTTGCTGTGGGGAGCTGTCCTGTGCCTTGCAGGATGTGAGCAGCATCCTGGCTTCTACCGGCCAGATGCCAATAGCAGACACCCCACCCCAAAACAGGGTGACAACCAAATATGTCTCCGGACATTGCCAAATGGCCCCTGAGGAGCAAAATTACCCTCCTTCATTGAGAACCGCTGGTTTGCACTTTATAGTACTTTACTATGTACCAGGCACTAAGCACGTTACATATTTCAAGTACCTACGTTGTATGTTTACCATCCCCATTTAACATATGGAGAAACTGAGAGCAATTAGGTTACTCTTAGTTCCCCAAGGTCAAACAATGATTGTGCAGAGCCAGGATTTCAACGCAGAAGATCTGGCTCTATAATCGATGGCCTTTACCCCCTCATACGTAGAAGAGCTGAAATTACACTAAAGTATGAAATACAGTCCACTCGGTGCTGAGCTCAGGAGAAGTTTTAAAAGTGAGATGAGGAAAGCCATGGCCACCTAGACTCACGCTGGTGAAACGCCTTTGTCACACTATGTCTGGCCAGAAGACTGCGTGGACACGGTTGACCCCTGACCCTCTGTGCTCTCTGGAGCCATCTTACCTAACAGTTGTATCTTTCTTTGTAACTCAGCCATCTGCAAGTGCACAGTGGACTTCCCCACACCGCGGCGGGGTCGTCCTGCCTTCGAATGGGGTGGGGACCAGCCATGGATGGCGCTCTTGCTTCCGGGTTGGCCATACTTGGGCGAAGCCTTCCTGTTTTTGACCTTGGAAGATTGCTTCGTTACCTGGTCCTGAGCAGGAGGGGCGTTGGTGGCGGCCGCCCAGCACAGGGGAGACGTCATGATTGGGTTGGGGCCGGGGGCCCCTAAGGGTTAGGGGGGGCAACTAGGACTCAGTCGCCCCAGTCCAGGATCTGTCAGCTCCGGTTCCTTGGGCTCTGGAAATGCACTTTCCGACCGCTTGGCGGGGCCTCTCAGCATCCACCAGTTGCTAGGTAACCTCCTCCCCTCCTCCCTCCGGTGTTTCCATGGAGATCACCCGCGTTCCATTGCACCACTTTCATTGGCTGACGCTGCGCGGAGGGGCGGTCCCACCAGGGGGCGGGGCAGAGCTGCGCCGCGGGACTGTAAGGGAGGGTACGTTGGGAATCACATGTTCATCCCATTTTCCTCCGCCCTTCCTTCCCTTCCCCCGCCGGGGTTTCGCTGGTATTTTTCAGGAACTTTCCTTTCCGCCACTCCCAAGATGGAGGTACGCTGCGCCGCCATTAAGAGCGAGCCTTCAGAACTATCTTCTCTAAGGCTTCACAGTCCTGCCCAAGATGGCCGTCTGGATTCCGGCACCGCCCCCTCTTTTGCCTCTCCCAACATGGCGGCCCTGAGCCGCCGTTTCCGTACGCGACGTAATACCGGAAGGGACGTATGCCGGACTTTTCCGCTTTCTTTCTACAGCAGGAACCGTGGCTGCTGGGCAAGGGGGGCGCGGCGAATATCGACCTTTGCCCTGGCCTCGTGTAGGTGCCGAACTAGCGGGTGGGAGGACACCCCAATTTCCTATAAGGGGCAGCCGGAGGGTTCGTGTGTGTGTTGGGGGTGGAGAGACTTAACCCCTTTGGCCTCATTGGCGGGAACTGGGCCACAATTGGGCACAAGGAGCGAAGGTTTTGAGGTCCCCACCATTGATTTGAGCAAAGTAAGACTCCCCTCCACTGGCCAGGATTGAGAGACCCTTGCCTCTCACCCCCGTATCGGAAGCCAAGTGAGCGAGCTTCATTGCCCAGAAGCCGTGGAGGAATCCAATTGGCTGGAAGTAGCCCTCTCCCATTGACCGGGCGCCCTTTTCTTACCACAGCGTGGGGAGAGCGCATCTCCCCGCAGCCTGCTTCCTCCCACAGAACCTGTTTCCGGTCTCAGAGCCTCCAGTAAGAGATGTTGCTGCCGCCGCTTCTGCTGCTGCTACCCCTTTGCTGGGCTGTGGAGGTCAAGAGGCCCTGGGGTGTCTCCCTCACCAGTGAGTCCTATTCATCTTCCCGCCAGGCTGGACTTGGGGGTAGGGTGTGGGAGGGACTGAGCCTCCTCCCCCTCTCTCCCTGCAGACCATCACTTCTATGACGAATCCAAGCCTTTCACTTGCCTAGACGGTTCAGCCACCATCCCCTTTGATCAGGTCAACGATGACTACTGTGACTGCAAGGATGGCTCAGATGAGCCAGGTGAGTTTGTTCTCCATTCATTGAAGCCACTGCACTCCAGCCTGAGTGACAGAGTGAGACCCTGTCAGAAAAAAAAAAAAAAAAAAAGTAAAGGCAGGAGCTTGTTTTAAAGGGCTTCAGTCTCAGTGAGGGGAGGAGGGGGAACCACTGGAGAATTGTTTCAGGCCTGGAGCATGCAGCTTTGCTTCCCTTGGTCGGTCCTTCCTTCCTTCCTTCCTTCCTTCCTTCCTTCCTTTCCTTTCCTTTCCTTTCCTTTCCTTTTCCTTCCTTTCCTTTCTTTCCTTCCTTTCCTTTCCTTTCCTTTCTTTCCTTTCTTTTCTTTCTTTCTTTTTTTTTGACAGAGTCTCGCTTTGTTGCCCAGGCTAGAGTGAGTGCCGTGGCATCAGCCTAGCTCACAGCAACCTCAAACTCCTGGGCTCAAACAATCCTGCTGCCTCAGCCTCTCAAGTAGCTGGGACTACAGGCATGTGCCACCCATGCGCCGCGTTAATTTTTTCTATATATATTAGTTGGCCAATTAATTTCTTTCTATTTATAGTAGAGACTGGATCTTGTTCTTGCAAGAGGCTGGTTTTGAACTCCTGACCTCAAGCTATCCGCCTGCCTCGGCCTTCCAGAGTTCTAGGATTACAGGCGTGAGCCACTGCACCCGGCCGTTCCTACCTTTCTTTTGCTCTCTGCATGCATGTGGTTTCTGGGGCTCTGTCTATGGATAGGACATTTCTGGCCCTGAGTGGACTCCACAAACCCCCCTCCCCCCTTGTTTCTGATAGGTACAGCTGCCTGTCCTAACGGCAGCTTCCACTGTACCAACACTGGCTACAAGCCCCTGTATATCCCCTCCAGCCGGGTCAACGATGGAATTTGTGGTGAGTGAGGACACATGGGGTTGGGGGAATGAGGCAGTGGGTGGAGGGCGGGAGGAGGCACTGCCAGGTCTGATCTCGGCCCCTCCCTCTGCCTCAGACTGCTGCGATGGGACAGATGAGTACAACAGCGGCATCGTCTGTGAGAACACCTGCAGGTACGTGGGTGACAATGCCCCTCCCATCACCCCACCCCAGGACCTTGCCTTGTCTCACCCAGACAATCAGGCCCGTTCTCACTTCTGTGTTTGGCTATTGAGTGAGTGCTCACTCTCTCCCAGGTGCCTTTTGAACCCTAATCACTGGCTTTGTCTCTAGTCCTAAAGTAAACGTAACTGTTTCCCTAGTCAATAGATAAGGAAACTGAAGTATAGAAGGGGAAATGACTTCCCCAGGGCCACACAGCGAGGAGATGGCAGAGCCAGGACTCAAACCCAGGTCAGCCTAACTTCTGACTCCAAACTTTTAATTGTCGCGCTCTGCAGCAGGGCCTAAAAACTTAAACACCTACAGGCAGGTGATGTAAACAACAGAAGGAGGCTGAGTATGAGGCAGGAGGGAGTGGTGGGGATTGTGGCATCTAAAAGAACAGCTGTGAGGCCAGGAGTTCGAGACCAATCTGGGCAACAGTGAGACCCCATTTCTACAAAAAAATTTTAAAAATTAGCCAGATGTGGCGGTATGCATCTGTAGCTACTCAGGAGGATGGGGCAGAAGGATCACTTGAGCCCAGGGGTTTGAGGTTGCAGTGAGCTCTGATGATGCCACTGCACTCTAGCCGGGGCAATAGAGCTAGACTTTGTATCCAAAAAAAGAGAGAAAAAAGGAACAGCTGTTTTGAACTCCAGTTGAGAGGGCTGGATTAGTTTTTCAAAGTCCCAATATTGATGTAAACTCTCCTGATTTCAGATCTTTTAAGTAGAGGTTGGATTGAGCACAACACACTCACTAACCAGATTGTCTGTTTGTCTGGGAGTCTGATTTCTGTTCTTTCTTTCCACTTTCTCTTGGGAGCTGACTTCTAGATCGACCTCCCAGCACTCCCTAGTCCCTTCCCTGACCCCAAGAGTGGGCAAACCCTGGCCTCCGTCCCTCCTTCCACAGACAGGGATGAAGGGTGCTGAGGTTGAGAGAGCCTGGGTTCCCAGGGGAGTTTGCTCTCTTGCTTTTCCCACCACGGTTGGCAAGGGCCGGGGGTTGGGGGGATGGATTAGCAGATGGGTTGAGCCCTTTTTTGGGAAAGGCAGACCTGGTGGCCTAAATGCCCACTGGTGGTACCTGTGTGTCCACCCCCACCCAGAGAGAAGGGCCGTAAAGAGAGGGAATCTCTACAGCAGATGGCAGAGGTCACCCGAGAGGGGTTCCGCTTGAAGAAGATCCTTATCGAGGACTGGAAGAAGTCCCGGGAGGAGAAGCAGGTGAGGGGGCCCCAGGGCTGACATGGGCTGGAAAGCCACCTGCCCCTGACTAGTAGTGTCCTTGGGCAAGTTTCCGCCTGCCTGTACCTTTCTCAGTTGCGTGCTGGGCATTAGTTCTTAGCTAAGTAGCTCCTGAGTGGGTGGCAGTCATCTCAGGTGTTGATTAGGACCTTGGACATGAGACCGACGTGGGCTTGAAGGGCCTCTGCTGCCTCCTGGGGACAGCAGGGACGCTTCTTTGTATCCCAGTTCTGTGGTCCCATTGTCTGTAAGACAGTCTGTGACCGTATGACCATGCAGTTTGGGGCTGGGGGGCAGGTCAATAAGGTAACGTCAGTGAGCAGCAGCTGGATTAGTTCAATAGGTGGTTGCTTAGGGGTCCCCGGGTGTGTGTCTCTGCCTACCTCCTTGCCACCCCGATGGCTGTTTGATGGGTCAGTGTCGTCACCACTGCTTCTGGGCTCCTGCTCCACCCACTGAGTGAGGGCTCCAGCTCTGTTTTCCTGCCCAAGAAAGGTTCAGGTCTTTTCTCTCCCACCCCCATGCCTAGTGAGGTCCCCCCTAAATTCAAGGGGCAGTGAGATCCCTCTCAAATTCCAGGGACACTGGGAGAATAATGTGGTGAGGTCAACTCCAAGTGACCTTTGCCCTCCTGGGGAGATGGAAGGAGCCTGACACGAGGCCAGGCTAAGGTGTCTACCAAGGTCTTGGGAGGAACGTGACACCACGGGGGCTTAGGCTACAGCTTGTGGGCCCCATCCCTGAAACAGAGCCAGCCCAGCACACCTGCTCCTTGTTGAACTGTCCACAGAGGCCCACGGTGTGCCGTGCACTGACGGGAGGCTGCAGCCAGACCTGGATCTGCCTCAAGCAGCTCATCGTCTAGTGCAAGGGACAGACAGACAGACAGACAGAAAGTGACCCCCAGGGATGCTGGGTGAAGGGAAGTTTGGGGCTGTGAGGCATAGGAGAGGCTCTTGCCCAGTCCTCTTCCTTCTCTGTCTTGGGGGAAGGAGGCAGGAAAGACTTCCTGGAGTAGGAAACTTCTATCTAAACTAGAATCCATAGGGTAATTTGGGGTTAACCAGGGAGAGTGTTTCAGGCTGAAGGAACAGCATGTTCAAAGAACTGGGGCCAGGCGCGGTGGCTCACGCCTGTAATCCTAGCACTCTGGGAGGTTGAGGTGGAAGGATTCCTTGAGGTCAGGAGTTTGAGACCAGCCTGAGCAAGAGTGAGACCTCATCTCTACTACAAAAAAAATAAATAAATAAAAAAAATTAAAGAACTGGAGGCAGGAAAGTGTTGGGGTCTGAATGGTGTCAGGGCAGTTGGATCCAAGAGTTTAAGGCAGGGGTGCAACATACGGGGCTTGAGAAGCAGACAGGGGCCTGGTTACCTGAGGCCTTGTAGGCTACATTGAGGCTTCTGTCCAAAGGGCTGCAGGGAAGCACAGCAAGGGACCTAGGGAGGTGTGTATTTTGGAACAGTCCCTTGGCTGCCCTGTGGAATGGAGGCAGGGAGGAGGTAGACAGTGAGCAGAGGAGAGCTGGTCTCTTGCCTTCTGCCCACCCAGCAA